TAGCAAGACATGTGATACCCATTGAGGCATAGAACACTGCTGGGAGGGGTGTGCAGAGGAATCCTCCATACCCTAGTTAGGAGTTGTATATTTTCATGTCCTACCAAGTAGTAAGGTATGTGTGAGTCCCCACTGATCGTTTTCTGTCTAAGTTTTCCTTGTTGTTCTCTATTTTAATTTTTGTTGTTTTGTTTTGTTTTGGGGGACTCCAGGGCAGCCCTGATGGTCACTGCAAGAGAGGGTGGGGATCCAGCACTGGAACTAAACAAGGACCAGAGAAAGCTCTTCTCCCTGGTCTTGGAGGGAGCTTATGGTTCTTCTGTTTCTGTAGACCGCTCAGGGCTCCTGGCTGTTGTTCTGGTGACATCGGGCTCTGCGATGAGGGATTTGGACTTCATCTATCCCATGCGGGAGATTCAAGTGGAAGCAAATGACCTCAGAGTAATTAGCCTCCGAAGGCACTCCAATTCCCTGTGGTCTCCTTGGCACTTGGGATGTAGTTCTTTTTTTTTTTTTTAAGATATATTTGGATTTTATTGGAAAGGCGGATATACAGAGAGGAGAGACAGAGAGGAAGATCTTCCGTCCAATGATTCACTCCCAACTGGCTGCAACGGCTGGAGCTGAGCCAATCCGAAGCCAGGAGCCATAAGCTTCATCCAGGTCTCCCACGCGGGTGCAGGGTCCCAAAGCTTTGGGCCCTCCTCCACTGCTTTCCCATGCCACAGGCAGGGAGCTGGAAGGGAAGCGGGGCTGCCGGGATTAGAACCGGTGCCCATATGGGATCCTGGGGCGTGCAAGGCAAGGACCTTAACCACTGCGCCATCGCGTCGGGCCCATGGGATGTAGTTCTTGGTGCCCATACTGGTAGTCCTTGGCGAGGATCCAGGAGTCTCCAGGGTGGGAACACAAGTCTCCTCTCGTGCACCTGCTCCATCCTGGAATCCTCCCTGCTCTGTGCATATGACCTGTTAAGAGGTTGTCAGGGTCGTAGAGCACCATTTCTAAGAGAAAGAGCCATAACTGAGCTGTGATTTTGCAAACCTGGGTACTAGGTAGATATATTCTTGAAAATGGATAAAGTCAGTCTTTACTTTCAACAAAAATGCCATGTTTGTCATGTGGCCCAACAGAGTAATTTTCCAGAGGCCATCTCAATACCAGACAATGTGAATTTTATATCTAAATCATCCTTCTAAGTGGCATTACAATTAAAGAAAAAATGTGCTTGCTTTTTTTGAAGATTTATTTATTTTTTATTGGAAAGTCAGATATGCAGAGAGGAGGAGAGACAGAGAAGAGGATCTTGCATACACTGGTTCACTCCCAACTGGCCGCAACAGCCATAGCTGAGCCAATCCGAAGCCAGAGGTAAGAGCTTCCAGGTCTCCGACGCAGGTGCAGGGTCCCAAGGCTTTGGGCTGTCCTCGACTGCTTTCCCAGGCCACAGGCAGGGAGCTAGATGGGAAGTGGGGCAGCCTGGATGCAAACAGGCGCCCATATGGGATCCCGACGCATACGAAATGAGGATTTTAGTCACTAGACTACTGCGCTGCACCCAAAAATGTGCTTTAAATGCTGATGTCTTTTCCAATAGCAGAGTGAAAAGACATTTTTCTAAGTTTTTCCCACTAAGACCCATTGGTGATATAGATTAGAAAAATAGAGTCTGGATATTAATGCCATAAGCAAAGTGACATTACAAATGCATGACTTATGGTCTCATATTTTAGAGTGCTTTACATTTCTATGTGCTTTCATATATATTTTTTCATCTGATCCTCATACAACAGAGCTTTAAGATAAGGACATTGAGACTCAAGGAAGAGAGTTCTGTCAATGGACTTTACGCCTTTCTGCCCTTTCAGCTATTATCTCTAAGGACGGGAAATCAAAGCAGTGCAGATGGAGAAGAGATAGAATCTCTAAAACTTGGCCACTCATGACGTGCAAAGAAAAGGAAGTGAAGGCGCCAGGGGATTTTCCTAAGTGTTTTTCTTGGATCCCTGGGAGGGTATGGTTAACTGTGAAAGGGAAAAAAACAAAACAAAGCAGAACAAACCGACAAGGCATGGATTGTGTTATAAATGTTTCAAAGGCTTATTGAAGACCTCTTCATTGGTACTGTGGGCAGGTGCTTTGGGACATTCTTAGGATGTATAGACTGCATTTACTGTCTCTGGGGACTTTGGTGCACATGCCCACGGCTCTAATTCAGGAAAGAAAATGGCAAGTGCCTTAAGCAAAGCTGAGGTTAAGTCCCAAAGCTGTTCCCAGAAAGGAAGTCGTTAAATTTGTACCCGGGAAATTTTATGAAAGTGCAAACATTTGGAGAGAGTCGTGCAGAACAGTAAAATGTGGATATACAGAGTGCAGTTACAGAAAAGAAGAGAGACACCTGGCTCAGTGGCCTAGTGGCTAAAGTCCTCACTGTGAATGCACCAGGATCCCATGTGGATGTGGGTTCTAACCATGGTGGGCCCGCTTCCCAACCAGCTCCCTGCTTGTGGCCTGGAAAAGCAGTCGAAGACAGCCCAAAACCATGGGACCCTGCACCCGCATGGGAGACCTGGATGAAGCTTCTGGCTCCTGGCTTCAGATTGGCTCAGCTGTGGCTGTTGCAGTCACTTGGGGAGTGAATCATCGGATGGAAGATCTTTCTCTCTGTCTCTCCTCCTCTCTGTATATCCGCCTTTCCAATAAAATAAATAAATCTTAAAAAAAACAGAAAGAAAAAGAAATGTGACCAGCGTATGCAAGGAGGACTGGAATAGTAGAGGTTAGCAGGAATATAATGCATGCCTAGGAGGATACTGAAAAGGCATTCTTGTTGCTTTTCCACTACATTATTACAAATATGAGCTGCAGAGTCTGACGTTGTGTTGTATTGTTGGTTAGTTTTCCATTTTATTTTATTTTATTTTTTTTTTTTTATTATTATTGTTGCTTACATTGTATTATGTAGTACAGCTCCATAGGCGCTGGGGATTCCCCCCACCCCTCCCACACCCCTCCCCCCATGGTGGATTCCTCCACCTTGTTGCATAACCATAGATCAAGTTCAGTTGAGATTCATTGCTTGCAAACACATGCCTAGCATAAAGTTCCGTGTCCTATTGTCCAGATAAGTTCAGTGGCCTCTTGGGGAGACCTTCTATAGTCTGAAGATAGGTCTAACAGAGTAAAGATCCGGTCAGTTAAAAGCCCCAACAAGGCCTCAGTATCATTATACAACATTATGGAATTAATTGACATAGTATTGGGTAAACAATATGTTAAAAATAATGCAAGTTCCATTCTTCGAGACATCTGGGTTGAGACAGTATCAATGACAGGTTCAAAAAATAACAAACAACCAAACAAAAATTACACGTTAAATCAAGGCAAACATGTGGTATCTAATCTTTTGGGATTCACTCATTTCCCTTAGCATTATAGTTTCCAGTTGTGCCCATTTAGCCACAAAGAACTGCATTTTGTTTTTTTTAATAACTGAGTAGTATTCCATGGAGTAGATGAACCAAAGCTTTCTTATCCAATCTTCTGCTGATGGGCATTTCGGTTGCTTCCATGTTTTCGCAATTACTGATTGTGCTGCAATGAACATAGGGTTGCATGTTGGTTTGTCGTAAAACAGGTGTTTTGGATATATTCCTAGGAGTGCTATTGCTGGGTCATATGGTATGCAGATTTTGAGTTGTTTGAGTGTTCTCCAGACTGATTTCCATAGAGGCTGTACCAATTTGCAGCTCCACCAGCAGTGGAGTAGGGTTCCCTTTTCCCCGCATCCTCGCCAGCAGGCGTCGTTGGTGTTCTTGTTTATGTGGGCCAATCTTGCTGGTGTTAGGTGGTACCTCATCGATGTTTTAATTTGGATTTCCCTTATTGCTAGGGAGCTGGAACATTTTTTCATATGTTTGTTTGCCATTTGGACTTGTTCCTTTGTGAAATGTTTGCCCATTTCCCGTGCCCATTTCTTGAGTGGCTTGTTCGTTTTGGTTTTTTGGTTGTTTTGAAGTTCTTTGTATATCCTGGAAATTAGCCCCCTATCGCCTATATCGTGTGCAAAGATCTTCAACCTACATCCAGAAACCTTCAAACTCTTGCAAGAAAATGTAGGAAATACCCTGCAAGACCTAGGAGTAGGTCCCAACTTTCTAAGAAGGACACCAAAAGCAATAGCAGTTGAGAACAGAATAAACAAATGGGACCTCATCAAACTAAGAAGCTTCTGTACAGCAAGGGAAACAATCAACATAGTTTTCCATTTTATATTTACTTGATTTTTTTAAGAACACTGGTCAAACAAGTGTTTTTTTTTAAGATTTATTTATTTTTATTGCAAAGTCAGATATATATAGAGAGAAGGGGACAGACAGAGAGGAAGATCTTCTGTCCCATGATTCACTCCCCAAGTGACTGCAACGGCCAGTGCTGCGCTGATCTGGAGCCAGTAGCCCAGATCTTCTTCCAGGTTTCCCATGTGGGTGCTTTCCCAGGTTACAAGCAGGGAGCCAGATGGAAGCAGGGCTGCCGGGGTTAGAACCAGCGACCATATGGGATCCTGGCACATTCAAGGCGAGGACTTTAGCCACTAGTCCACACCGCCGGGCCAAAACAAGTGTTTTTTAGGTACAACTTATTTCTCTACCTATAACATTTTCTTCATGTTTCATTAATTGGATTAATAATTCCATTTTATATTGCATCATTGATCTTCCCATATGGTGGTTGATATTTTGAGAGTGGGTTGTGCCAAATAATTTTTCTATTATCGTATTTTTTAGATCTACTGTATGTTGCCTAAAGCAAACCTGCAGCTTTTAGGTGACTTTGTTCTATTTACACCTAGAAACTCCAGCACTGCTTTAATTTGGATTTTCATAAGAATTACCGCTCCATATCTGTCATCAAATATCAAAGCTTTGTCTTCCTTGTTTAGTGTTATTTTTCACTGCAGAATCCATCTGACTGGAGATCTGTTATTGCTTTTTTCCTAGAAAAATCAGATAAATATGACCCCCGTGATATTGAAAGACTACAGCAAGATGATAACTGGGTTGAAAGCTACTTGCTTTGGAGACATAATGTTGTAGAGGAAACACTGAAGATGCTTGATGAGAGTTTTCAGTGGCGGAAGGAAATTTGTGTCAATGGTAAGTGGTTTAACTTAACCTTGACAAGGTGATATCTACCACTACTCTGATGTACTTGTGTATTTGTACAGATTCTTGTCAGCCATTGCAAGCCCCAGAATATAATAATTTATAAAGACCACTAATACTTCAAAGGAACAGTTTATGGACAAGTCTTATAAGTTGGGTCATTCTTAAGGAAATGAGGTGAGCAGGAAGATTGTGGCCGCTCAAGAGAGTGACCGAGTCTGTGTTTAACCTAGTGCCTTACACAACAGCATGTCCAACACTGTGCCCAGAAGTTAGAAGATGCCATTTTCCTGTTCTTGCCAGTTCTTGCCTGTGTCTTTATCTGACTCTCTTGTGTCAGTAGGTATTCCAGAACAATTTGCTAAAATGAATAAGCAGTCCCAGAAAAGCAGGCCTCTCCCCAAAAATGCCTGTAACAAGTTTCTGTTACTTTAATTTCTAAGTCTACGACTAGTTGGAAATGTTCCTCTCATCAGGGTGTTTTCATCTTAGAGGCAGTTTTAGAACGGTATTCATGTGTATAAAGAACTCTTCCCAGCGAAAGTTACTTGGGATCTATCTCCTGCTAAGAATTTTATAAGAACAAACTGGCAGAGCTGCTGCTTTCATGTCTTGGAGCATTATAAACTCGAGGAGTGAGTCTGAAGACTTAATACAAAACGGGCAACAAAGAAATGTGGAGCAGAAAGCCTCCTTACTCTCGATGCCTCTAGAAGGAATCCAAGAGTAAGGGAATACTTGAGAAATAACGTGATTGAAACACATACTTTAGGGGATTTCAACAAACATTGAAGAATTTAGGAGGCAAAGAAGTATAAATCTGGTGTTTTTAAATCACTTAAGTACAAAGAGACTTAAATTCAACAGTATTCATTTCCTTACTTAAAATCACTAGTTTATGGTAGTGAACAAGAAAAATGTAACGAGAAGAAATGGGGAAAGATAAAATATTTAGACAAAAGCCTTGGAGGTCCCCCCCCCCCCTTGCTGTGTCGGTTCTTGGTCTCACCAGAGCCCTGACGGGTCCTTTGCTCCTGCGATAGCTGCTCGTATTTTTTGTTGAGTATCTTTTCCACCTGCCCCAAGGTTAGGAAATATGTGAGTCTACTGGATATCCATCTATCTAGAAAAATACCATTTGGTTATAGAAACTAGCCAGTTGTTTTCATGAATTCGGACCCTGTAACATGGATATTTGCAGGTGTGATTCTCTTGAGGTTTTCTCATAGTGATGCTAGTTGTTGCATGTCATCATATGGATTCTACTCAGAGTAGAGACATGTGTGCACACAGATAATGGCTGGCATGTCAAGGGAAATGCAGCTTCTCTATTTCCACCTAGAACCTTTGCGTCTTTGTGTAGTTTGCTTCCTTAGCAGGAAACATCTTTTTTTGTTTTTTTTTTTTACTGCCAGAGATTCTTTCCCAGGACGTCTTTTGTAATCCCAGAACTACTACACAACATTACCTTTACCTTGTGAGTTTTATTTTCAGGACCCAAATTGCAGTCACTGATGAAAGTTTATCATTTTATAGATCTTACTGAATCTTCCATTCCTAGATGGTTACTGGAAATTGGTGGTATTTATCTCCATGGTTATGACAAAGAAGGTAACAAATTGTGTAAGTATATCATTGAGTTTACATGTACATTTTAAGACTGAGAGGCAGGTATCTGTCTCAACTGAATAGCCCACAGAACTTGGCCATATGTTGCAAACTCCCTGCAATTAAAACTCTGAGGCAATTAGGGACCATTAGGGCTATCTTGATGGAGTGCCAAATACTTGGTAGCTGTGTTTACCAAGCACATCACAGTAGTCAGAAAAGGCTTATGCTGCATCTTGTAACACAGCCAAGATAATTCAGTTCAGAGTCATTATCTTTCTAATGTGATTGTGATATTACAATTCACCTCCATATTTTTATAGAGAATCTCTTGACAATCACTAAAGGTTACTCTGTAGGCCTTTTCCGTTCGGGCCTCCTGTAATCTTCTCCCCCTGTGTGCAACCACACAGGGGGCCGCGGGACAGTAGCGTTCATCTCTGTTGTTCAAATAGTTCCTTTATGTGTATCCCCCATGAGCTCCAAACTCAGCTTGTTTTGTGTCCAGGGTGGGATTTGTCAGGCATGTTCAAGCTGCTGCTGATCAGCTGTCCTGCTGGCCTGGGCAGCCTTCCCTGGGTCCTGTGGGCTGTGTTGCCCTTTACCAATATTCTGTTGGCATTGGCCTCTTATCTCTGCCTCCTCCTTTTAAACTTTCTTTCTCATCAGTGTCCTTTGAGTATGCTTCCAAGCCTTCATTCCTTTCTTGCCCTCGGACACGTACCCAGCTATTCATGACTGGCACCACCTGACCATTTGTTGGCCACTTTCAGCCCGGCATCCAGCTGCATGTCCACAGCCTGCTCTCTTCCATAGTCCCAACTCACTGGCTCTTCTTCAAATGGAGCTTCAGTTTGACACCTTTTCCAGTACTATCAGCTGCTTTCTCAGTTGAGTCTCTGACTACTCCAGGTTGAGCATCCCTAATCAGAAAAACCTAAAATCCTGAATGAAACCCAGAACTTGGCACCCTCAAAACACTGTGAGTGGACAGTTTCATACTTGATCTCACATAAATACATCACGGTCAGAATGTAGGTATGCTAAAATACCGTATCAGTTACCATCAGGTTATGTGTGTAAGGGGTCTGTGAAATTCATTATGCATATGCAAATATTCCCAAACCTAAAAAAAATCCAGAATCTAAAGCATCTATGGTCCCATGCATTTCTGGTAAGGGACATTTAACATCTGCCCTATCATCCCGGTACCTTCCCAGGTCATAGACAAGTGGCTTTCTGCTTTTCGCTCTAGGCTACTGCCTAGCCCCTATATCTCCATGTGCCTTCTCTGTCACTGTCATCATCTAAGCAGTTTGCCACCGTCCACCTGAGTCATGGTGTCCGCCTGGGCTTGCATTGCACCTGCTGCTGTCACTCGACAGAGGTGCTGCTCAGAACCAATGGCTTTCTTTTAAGTTTAGCACAATAACTTTCAGGTTATTATCAAGTATTGTTTATTTTGCATTTTCTTGTTCCCCTTAACTTACAACTCAAGTTTGTTTATATCCGAAGGGAAAAAGCATAGTTTACTTTCTCTGCTACCACATAATTTGGGCTTCTCAACTACAACTATTTCTCATTCAAAAGAACAAAGAGAAGGCTTTAATCTGAAAAACAGAATAAATTATAAATGAAAAAAATCATCTAGGAAAATGATATATATGTGTACACATACACACACTCCTATGTGAGTATATAAATAATATTGTAATGCCATGAATCTTACTCTCATTTTTAATCTTTCTGCTTTAAGTCTGGATCAGAGTGAAATATCACGTAAAAGACCAGAAGACCATCTTGGACAAAAAGAAGCTCATAGCGTTCTGGTTGGAACGTTATGCTAAGCGAGAAAATGGGAAACCTGTAACAGTGATGTTTGACCTCTCAGACACTGGACTGAATAGCATTGTAAGCATTTTTCTTAATTCAAAATTGTTGCTAACCAAATATTGGTAGAAAATTGAGCCACCTAACTTATGTTTCAGATTTGTTTCTTTCCCTCTTGGGTTGAGTGAAGCCAGACATGCACTAAGGCTTTCAGAGACTTACATTTGCTTTGGTGTTTGGCATTGATGATGTATATTCCTAGAAGTGTTCTTGGTTGATAACTCATGAAAGAGAGGTCTTCAAGGTAGGCAGAGTGATTGAATCTGGCAACAATGGACTTTGCTGTTATCACCAATATCCTGCAGCACCTGCCTCTGTGCCTGGCACACAGGATACATCCTGTAAATACAAATTGAAGTCATACAGGATACCTCAGATGGCAGATTCACGCCACATTTTCCAGTGACAGATATTCATGTGAGTTTTCTCATATACAATGCTTCATGATGTTGTTGGAGATTTTTTGTTTCCTGCTTTAGATTGCTTTTCTATTTATTTGATCTGATTATCTTTTAAAGCAGTTTTCTTGTGATTATGTTGAGCTTAAAAAAATAGGTAAAACCTATTTGCCTTTAAATTTGGGTTCCTGGGTCTTTGTAATGTTAATAGTAATTACCAACCCATCAGCAATAATTGAGATCAATTGACACATTTATTCCCTTGTTTCTGGGTTTAAGCTGTGGCTGATTCTGGTAGCTGTGAATTGGGATTCACAGAGCCACTTGGAAAAATATTGAGTGAAATGTTTCTTGAAAGTCTGTTTGGCAAAGCATATTAAAAAAACCTTGTCATGTTTGTATTCATATTCTTTACCTAGTAACTTCTTCTAAAGAAATAATCGCCAGTACAGAAAATGCATTGTAGACCAAAGTGTTTTTTTCAGAGCATTGGTTAAAATAATGGAAAATTAGAAAAAATATATAAATGTTTAACATCATGAAATGGTACATTATGACACATCTAATTGATGGGGTGCATATAAGCTATATAAAATGATGTTTCTAAAGAATTTGTAATGATATTGGGGAATAGTTTTTTTTAATGAAATAAGTGATATGATTATAATATGGTGACATGTAGTCCAAAAAAAAAGACATCTTACACTTAAACAAGCACACAACAGGCTAGGAACAGTGGCCAGCAGAAGTGTTTTGTGTGTGCTGATAAAACAACAGATTGGTTTCACATTTCCATTTCTCTCTCTCTCTCTCTCTCTTTAATCCAAGGCCCTATATTTTCCCAACCTACTTTCCATGTCACTTTGTATTAAAGTACAGAGTAAAATTTTATAATCAAATTGCCTGGATCAATAAACATTCTGTAAAGATAAATCATGATTCTGTTATCCTTTGCATAAGATAGTTTCCTAATTATTCACCCAGGATTATGAAATAATATGTTAATGTTTTTTATCAACAAATAGAAGGGCAGAAAGTTGATTGAGCTGGCTGATTCGTTTCTACTTATGTGACACCTCATCTTTAATTTACAAATAGAGATTTCTTTGCATTGCCAAGTATTTCAGTCATGATTAATGTTTTAAAAATACTCAAATGTCAATGAGTAGTTAATTTTTATATATGACCTTCTCATGATTCTCAAGGATTAAGTCAGCTTATAAAGATGTACCCAGAATTACAAAGCAGCACAAAAGGAAATCAACAGAGTTGGGCCACCAGTTTGAGTCTTTTGTTCCCTATGTGAAGATAGGAATCATTTAAAATGGTTCAGGAGCTTTATTTGAAATCCTGTGCCTTAGAGTGTATGTATCACTAAAGACAAACTAGAAAAAAGAGTCTTTTGGAGGTCCTCTTCAGGAAGACATTTTACAAAATAATGAATAGCATTCTCCTGAAAGTTCTCATAGAATGCAGAGCACTGGGTTTTGTGGAGCTATTTTTTATACCACTGAGGAATAAACATATACCAGTAACATCCTAGCCCATTGACTGGAAGAACTGGTTCTTTACAGCCATTTTCTTTGACTCTTGCTTAACTACATATTATGAAACTAGGTATAGTGGATAATGATTAGTTATAAAGATATTTTATTGTATACTAGAATTTATCCCATAATCAATACTTAAGGACAGCTATTTATGTTTACCATGATTAAACATGTTGCAACTCCTAACCAGCGATGACTTTAGGCTCTTATCTCTAGCACAACTTGCCTTTTAGTAGGTTCAATGGACTTAAGTTTACCTGATTACGTCTTCCATATGGCTTTAAGCAGACTTTATAAGCTGGCTATTTAGAATTACTGAATCAACCTGTGCCATGAAATAACATGGAATGAAATATGAATAATACCCCTTAATGACCTAATTTCCTGTTGTGCTCAAAAGCAGTAGAATCAACAGCCATCTGTGTTTGTGAATTCTCTCAAAAATTGGAGTCAATGAATAATACTTGAGTCAAAGCTGAAACCCCGATTCTGGGCCCCCAAATAAAAAGGAAAGAAACAAAGTAGGCCCATGTGTATCTAAGAAGACCCATGTGATCATGTTGACTGCTGTGGTCAAAAATCAGGAAATACAGTTTAGTGACGTTATTAGAAGGTGTAAAAACTAACTTTAAAGCAAATGCTATGCCAGAATTTACATACATTTTGAGTATCATCCCAAATGGGTTAGAAACTGCATACTTGTCTCAGCAGATCTTTAGGTATTCGAAACCTTTTTAGACTGTCCCTGTGAAGATTGCTTTTAGATTCATTGTGTGTACTGTGGGCCTAGCATCTTGAAGATGCAAATGACTTAATGATCTATAACCTCAATCCATGGGACTTTCAGCTTGTTTTGAAAGAATTTAATGATGATTCATCGATAGTCTATGACACCTTTCGAAACGTCGGCTTTAAGGTTATCTAATATGGCTAGTCTCAAAGAGCCTGTCTTCCTTTTAGGACATGGACTTCGTGCGTTTTATCATCAACTGCTTTAAGGTTTATTACCCTAGATACCTCTGTAAGTAACTCAGTCCTTTATCAAAAAATTGTGTATGCAAATTGTAGATAATGTCTGAAAATTGTGAAGCATTATCTTGTAATAAGCCTTTGTGCCTGAGACTTTGTTTTTTCATAAGTAATGATTGTCCTTTATAGTAAAAGAGTTTAAATTCTCAACTGTATAATATTTGTGACCTCGTGCAAAATACACACACATGCATACCTAAAAACCCAGTTATTTCCAAGATTGTCTTATTGTTACTAATATTTCATTTTGGACATTCATTACAAATAATATTTTTATCATGGATCTTCTTGCATATAAGCAATATTGATACATAGACTGCTGTTTAACAGTTATCATTGACAGAACACGTGACTAGAACATGCTATTATTTAAATGTGGCATTTGGAGTTTGTTTTTAATTCTGACGCTTCCATTAATTGCCTGAATGACACATGCCTGAATTTTTTACAGTATTCTCAGCTTTCGATTGTTGTATGTACAGAATAGGTTTCACGTAGGGAAAGCCAGATTCCAATTGGTTAGAAGCAAGACAACCAGGACATCAGAAAGTGGAAATGCATGATCTTCTTGGGCATACTCCTGGCCAGAGTCACAGTTAGGATCTTCAGGAATTCACAGTGCTTGTGACAATGAAGCACCAAATCCTCAACTTGGCACTAGTCCTCTTGGAATCCCTGCTGCGCCTGGCCTGTGCCTGACTCTCCATTCAGCCCATGGGCAGCAGGGAGTCACCATGTCAGACTCACCATTCATTTCTCTTCAGAAAAGAATGAAACAAAAATATTCATTCTTCATCGAAATACTTAAGGGAATTTGTGGAGAGCTACTCGTGAATAGTACAAATATCAGTGCTTTATCAAGTATATCCAAGATTCTTCAGGGAGAATTATGAATAAATGGGTGCATTTGCTGAATATATATCTATATCCAGACAATTATTTAGCTAAAGATCATATGTATGTCTGGCTACATAATGTGACTTTGCAGGCACTGACTTGTAGTATCTTTAATTGATTAGGCCTCCAGATCGATCATGAAATACAACTTTTGAAATTTTGTTATACACTCCAGAGGAAGAATGGAGTCAAGAGTGCCTCCTTTATGCTTGGCTTGTGCTTCCAAGTTACATTTTGATTCAGCTTGAATAGAGAATGACCTGATATCAGAAATCCCCTTTGTGGTTTTGAGTTCTTACTCAACAGCTGTTGATGGCGCTTTTTAATATCTCCAGCCCAGTGTGCAAATACTACTTCTGTATACCTGGGAATTATTGGCCTCTGGAGCTCATACTATTAAGAAAAGTGGAAAAGTGGAAATAATTTTTGTTTTTGAAAGTAATTTCTTAAAAGGAGAGTAGGGATAACTATGAGACTGGTTTGAGAATATAATCTCTAGCAAATTACAATTAAAGCCGTAAATTAGATGTGGGCATGTTTACAGTTTTGTGTCCTTCCGCACAAATCCAACATAACCGCTGTGCTCTTCCTCTGTACCTTTCTATGAATAACCAAAGCAGTGCATGAGTGGCACAGTGAGTGCCTTACTGATTTTCCCAGACCATGCTCCTGGGGGGCCTCTCCCCGTTGTGAACTGTTCCTCAGGTCCCACACCACTTTCACTGAGCTAGAACTCAGCTGCCTCACTTTTATTTACACTCAGGTGAACAGTTTTTCTAGGCCAGTGATAAATGATGTTATTACTCTCAAGTTACTAAATCACATTCAATGAATTTCTTTTTCATCTTTCAGCAAAAATAGTGATCTTTGATATGCCTTGGATAATGAATGGTGAGTATATACCTGTTCCCTTCTTAAAGCAAAATGTCACACTTCATTTTTTTCTTTGGCAATTAAACCATATTTCTCAGTTGATTTTTTTAAAGATTTATTTATTTTTATGAGAAAGGCAGACTTAGAGAAGGAGAGACAGAGAGAAAGATCTTCTGATCACTGATTCATTCACTCCCCAAACAGCTGCTATGGCTGGAGTTGAACCAATCCAAAGCCAGCAGCCAGGAACCTCTTCCGGGTCTCCCACATGGGTGCAGGTCCCAAGGACTTGGTCCAACCCCTACCGCTGTCCCAGGCCACAAGCAAGGAGTTGTATGGGAAGTGGAGCAGCTGGGATATAAACCATCACCCTTATGGGATCCTGGCACTGCAAGGCAGAGGATTAACCAATTGAGCTGTCACACCAGCCTACTCAGTTGATTTAAAAATTCTTTTTATTGTACTGGGTGTACACTCCTCAGAGGTGCAGTGAGAACACTTGAATGGCCAACAGTCCATCCGCAGGCTCAGGGATATAGCCAGTCTCTTCTATAAACAGCTTCAAGGTCCTCAGCTGTTCAGGTAGAACCATAGCCTCAGTCCTCAGAGTGCCAGCCCTTACAGCCTGTCACAGAATACAGGTGTTGGCTGAGTTTTCCACTGGGATTCAGGTGTTGGGAAACGAGGTGGGATGAATCAGCAATAGACCCTGTGACACTGCAGTCACATGCTCTTTTGACAATCGTGATCGATGTTTGGTAAAAATATTTTTAAAATGCCATTTACAAGATATTTTATGATAAAGTTATTTTATGATTCATGCCCTCTGGAATTCAGAGGAAAACACAGATTGATTTATTGATAATGCCAGAAATGCAAGTAAATTGTTAAAATGTAGACTGAGTGGGGGGGTACGACCACTTAGTGACTAATTGTGTGCCAGAAATTAGACAACTTAGATGAAAAAAAAAATGCTCATAAAGTCAGAAATTACCAAAACTGACTCAAAAAGAATTAGTGTAGAAGTACAACAAAAGAAATTGAATTAATAGTAGAAGACGTTAGCATAAAAAATACCAAGGGCCCCCTGGCCTGACTGGGACATCCTGTGAAGCATCTAAAGAAGAAGAAACACCAACTGTTCACCAAGCCTTCTGAAAAGTAAAAGGAGGAAAAAGTTTCCAACTAATTTTTTGAGTCGACTATAAGCTTAATGGCACAGAAAAAAGAAAATGACAGACCATGTCTTTTAGGAATAGAGTCACACCATTCCTCCATAAAATATTAGTAGCCTGGATCCAACAGCATATAAAAGGACTATGTACACTATGGCCAAATGAGATTTAGGCGTGCAAAGTTGTTTCAACCATTTGAAAACCCAGCAGTATAATCCACCATATGAATAGAATGAAAGAGGAGGGGAGGCTATATGCTCCTCTCAATAGACGAAGAAAAGGCACTTGACAAAAGTCCCATACCCTCTCATGATAGAAAACAGTCAAGGTCATCAGTGGCAAGGAGCTGTACTAACTGAGGAGTGAGGGGAACTAAGGAATACACACAGGATACCATCACCCTGCCATGAACTGCAAGTTCCGGAATTGCCTTCCTGCTTCACAGCTCATCAGAAGATTCTTCTGGAACTCACACAAAGCTTTTATACTCACAGGATTTGCTAGAGAAAGAGTTCCTGCTGAATCACACATGGAGTTTGCCACCTAGCGCAGAGGGCAGGGAATTGCCGCGTCTGGGGCACATCCCTTCACAGCATTTGTGTGTCAGGGACCCTTAGCCAAGCGTCACTGTTAGGGTCTTTATGTGTAGCTTCTTACATCAGTTTCATTGACTGCCCACATGTTGATCTGTGTGTAGTCCCCTTAGGAGTCTACAGAGTTGCCACCCTAAATGCCAATTAGTCTGTGTCATAGCCAGCTGCCACCTTCAATCAGATTCTTCTTGAATGACCAAAGGCCCCCAGGCCAACAAAACCAATCCTGTGAGACCAAAGGATAACCTCCCCAAAGCAGGGAACCTTACTGGTTTGAGTAAGGGGAAAGCTTTACTCCACAGGAGAGAACCTGCTTGGTCTGACAAAGGACAGCTATGAAAAACCTGACTGAGAACCTGCCGCCAGCATTGCGCCTAGCGGTGGGAGAATGAGTGCTTCCCTGCCAAGACCAGCGACCAGGCACACTTGGCTGCTCCTTTTTCTTCTGTGCAATCTTATGCTGGAGGATCTAGCCAAGACACTTAGACTACAGCAAGAAAGAACTCGTGCAGATTGGAAAAAAGAGTAGCGATGTCCTTCCCTCCAGCTGACATCATGCTATAGAAAATTAAAGCAATTCACAAAGAAACAAGATATTACAACTACTCATGAAGTTAAGAAAGCTTGAGGGCTACAAAATCCAAGCACAAAATCAATTGTATTTCTTTTAAATTTTACTTATTTTTATATTATAATTTCATGATGCAGTTCCATAGGCCCTGGAATTTCCTTTATCCCCTCCCCAAATCCCTCCCCCATCACTGAGTTCCCCTATATCATTACTATAGTATGGTTCTTCATACACAGTCATATGTCCATCATTGCGGGCATGGACAATGGCAGAGTCCAGCATCCTATTGTCAAGATATAGTAAACAATTTCATTGGGAGTCCATCTTTGTCTGGAAGTAGAGATGCATACTGTGTTGTATCCTCACATCTGGATATGACAGTCTCCATTACACAGTTACTATACATCCCTTAAATGAAAAGCCACAAAACAAAGTCAACAACAGGGAGATAAAAAGAGAAATTAACAACACCATGAAGTTAAAAACATGGTACTGAATGACTAATGTGTCACTGAAGAGATGAAAAGCAAAATCAAGAACCTTCTTGAAGAAAATGATGTTACTGTATGATTTATGAGTCATTGAAAAATTTAATGAGAAGAAAGTGATTTGAAGAGGTGAAACTAACAAAAAAGTGTCAAAACCCATGAGATATAGTTTCCAGTTTCTTTGCTGGTGAGATATATCTCCTGAAGGCAAGAAATAGATGGGCTTTGGTTTTTAATTCAGTCTACTATGTTTGATTGATGAGTTTAAACCATTTACATTCAGAGTTAATACAAATAGGTGGCAATTTGGTCCTGTCATTTTAACATTGGGTTGTTCATTGATTTAGTCTTCTGTTGTTATTTTGCTGGGATGTTCTTCACATTTGCCTTTGGTTTTGGTGAGCGAATAGCGCTCTTCTGTCAAGAGAATATCTTGAAGTATCATTTGTAGGGCAGGTCTGGAAGACACTTATTCTTTTTAACTTTTCTTTACTGTGGGAGAATTTTATTTCATTTTCAAAGACAAAGGAAAGCTTTGGGACATTATCCCAGGCCTACAGTTTTTTGCTTTTAGAATTTGGAATATGTCACACCATTCTCTTGTGGCCTGTAGAGTTTCCTGTGAGAGGTCTCTTGTGAGTTTAACTGGTGTTCTTTTATGTCACCGCCCGGCAGTGGCGACACTAAAATGACAAGGCATGCTCTTGAGGGTCCGGGAAAAGCCGGAATCGCAACCGGACCCCTCACTGCCAAAAGTGGCCACGTTTAAACCCTTATCTCCGCTGCCCCTTTCCCCATTGGTCTAAGCTTTCCTCCCCGCTTCTCCAGCCTTCTTTCCACCACCCTTCTTCCCACATTTCTTCCCGTACTTTCTGCTGCATTTCTCTGTTCTTGTCCCCATCTCTCCGTACTGCTCTTACTGCTTCTATCCTGCTTTTGTACCCCTCTGCCCACTTTTGTCCATTTTTGTACACCTTAGCTTTTCCACCCAAAGATCTTAACCCTTCTTCCCCTCTCTGTTGCCCCATTCTTCCCATTCCGTCCTCCCCTGCCATAGTCTTTCTCCTTTTCGCACCCCCAGTCTTTCTCCTGGTCATCCCCATCATCGTCCGTCTGTCGTCTGTCCATCCTCGTCCGTTGTCTACCTTTTGCTGGCTACTTTTATATCGTTCTGCACCAATCACTTCTCCCCATGGGTCCACTTGGCGCTGATAGGCTGGTAGCAATGACATAATCACAGCGAGGGAATTAGCCTATCCCTGTGACTTCCTGTTTACCTGCTGGCGAGACCAACTCCGCCTCCTGGCCCTGACCAGCTGCCATCTTGTAACGGCCCCTTCCAATCCCAGGAGTGGCTTTAGCACCCTGCTTCCCACACCTTTATAAGTCAGTTGATTTTTTCACGTGCACATTTAAGGATCTTTTCCTTGTGTTATATTGAAGAGAGCTTGATTATCATGTGTCATGGTGAAGATTGCTTTTGATCAGGCCTGTTGGGAGTTCTGTGTCCCTCCTGGATGTTGTTTCCCAATTGTTTCTCTAGATTAGGGACATTTTCCCTTATTTCATCAAATACATTTGTAAACCCAGCTTTTCTTTCTGCACTTTCTGCGATTATCATAACTCTTATATTCGGCCTTCTAATAGTGTCTTTCGATTTCTGAATACTTTTTTTTTTAGCTTGACCCAGCTCTGCTTCCAGCTTTTTGTTTCTTTCCCCCGATGACAAGAAATATCTTCCAATTCTGAGATTCTTTCTTCTTCCTCCTTCATTCTGTTTTGAAGTCACTCCACCGTACTTTTAATTTGCTTCACTGTATTCATTTGTGAGATATGAGCTTTTTTGATTCATTTCCTGTGTGGCATATTTCTTAAATTCCTTGAATGCCTGCTTTATGTGCTTCTCGTTGATAAGAAGCTTTATAACAAGTGTCTTGAATTCTGTATTCCCTATTTTCTTGATGTATTTCTCAGTTAACTATGAGGTTGGCAAAGGGGTTTGCTCCTTTGCAGGAGAATCTTTAGTAATATTTGTTGTGCCTTTGTCTCTTCTTTTCTTCTTGGTCATTGTACTTCTGGTCTTCAGATTCTTCTTGTGCCAGGTTTCTAATGTTACCCACAGGTCTACAGTTCAAGTTTACTTATTGTGGTAGCTATATGGCTCTTTGTTAGTAGTCACTTGTGCCACTCCTTCTAGCAAGTTCCAGGCCTGGGTTCTTATGTTAGATTTCCACTATAGGCTCTGTAGCCCCAGCTCCTGGCTCACCAGTCTCCACCTCCTGTGATACCGTGCTGAGGCTGTACCGTGGTCTTTACAACCTTTCTCCCACTTCCAGTTGGAGCAGGTCCCAGGATTAGGGAGACAACAGGTGTCCTTTATAGCTAAGTTGTTGGTGGCGCTGATCTTGTCAGAACCTGTTGGACGCTAGGTCTGGGTGCCACATGGACCTAGTTTGACCCATACAGTGCCAAAGTCGATATTATTTTCCCTTGAGCAATGAGCTCAGTGAGTTCTCGCCGAGCTCCAGTGCATGCCCAGCTCACTGTTGTCCCTGCAGTCTTAAATTCTTTGCCACACTGTAAGAAATGGCACCTGATATGCCACTACTAGAGTTCTTGATCTGTTGGCCATCAGGTCTGATGGCTACCCAGACCTATCTTGGGGAGAACCTGTAAGATGCAACACATTGTTGTTTCAATTCAGTGAGCCAGAAATGATTTCACTCCCAGCTCAGTACATGCTCAGAACTGTCCATAGCCCTTGCCTCCTTAAACAAAATAGCACCTGATTGGGCTCTATGGGGTGAGCTGGGCTGTGTAATCCACCTTGTTCCCACACTGCCCATCTGGGACCTGTTGCTCTGTCTCTGCTCCTGGTCAAATCAAACAGACCAGCAGGATGGGACAGTTCTTTGTCTGGGTTCACTTCCGGAGCTCCCTTCCCACTTGGTTGCTGGTTTAGTTCCAGCTGCCGGTGGAGTTCAGGTTGTGGTTCACTGAATGCTTCTGGGGTATCAGCCACTGCAACACCGTGCCATTGTGTCTGCTGCTTTCCTGTGTCTGTCAGTCTCCAGGTACCCCTCTGTTGTTTTTCTGTCTTCTCCTGTTTCCTGGAATGTGCCTTCTTTGCTTCACCCTGGCTAATATTTCTCTGTCTGTTTAAACAAGTCCTCACCTTATTCTGCCATCTTGATTCTCATAAATCAGTTTTATTTAAAACACTAGCTATGCATAATCCAAAAATAAACTTTTGAAGAACTGTATTTATAGTAGCATCAAAAGCATAAAATAATTTATATGTAAGACATATGAAAACTATAAAATACTAGTTCAAGGCAGTCAAAGAAGACTTGATGATAATATATTATAGGTAGGTAAAAGGGAAATAAAATAACCTGGAAAATTTTCTCAGGTTCTGTCTCACAAAGGACAATTTTTGTTCTTTGACTCCGCTCACTTACATGCCAATTCATTGTACCCACTTTCCCATCATGCACCTGTATATGCCCTACAAACAGGAAGGAGATAACATGATAAACATGCGTGAGCTGAGTTCCATTTGTTGACGCCATGAAACTCCCAGAAACTTCGCACATAACAAATTCCCACCCCCCCCTTATTTGTATGTTCAATTAGGGCAGTACCTCTACCCCATAAAGGGGACTATTGGGCAAGAAAATGGTTCGTTTTGTACTTCTTTCTCTTGCCTTTTTTGGGTCTCCTTGTGGGAGCTCTCTTTGACTCTGGCCCTGTCTTGGTGAGCATCTCAACAGGAGGTTGCCCAAATTCATACCTGAATGTTTATCCATAGTCTCGCTTGAAATAAATCTGTTCTCTTTTTTGTACCTTACTCACAGCTCTGAATTTTCAAATCTTGAATCATGTGGGGGGAAAATCTGGTGACTATACTAAAAGAAAAAGATTTTTGAAGAAGGCATTATCAAGTATTGGTAAAGATACAGATAAGTTGGAATCCTCAGTACACTGCTGGTGAGAATATAAAATAGTGCAGCCGCATTAGAAAACATTTGGATAATTCCTTATAAAGTCACACCACAAATTGCATGCTTTTATGTACGTGAGAGAAGGGCAAACATCTTCTCCCACAATCTTGGACACAGATGTTCAGCGCAGCAGTATTCCTCCTAGCACAAAGTGGAAGCAAGTTAAAGATTCTTCCATTGATAAAAGGGTAAACATACTGTGCAGCCAGAAACAGGAAGTGCCAGTCTGTGCTTCATCTTGAATGAACCTTGAAAGCATGCTAAGTAAACAAAGCCAGTACAAAAAGCCATGTAGGATTCCATTTATATAGAATGTCCAAAAGCAACAAACCCATGAAGATAGAAAATAAATTAGCAGTTGCTAAAAATTGTGAGGAGTCTTTGGGGTTATGAGATGTGATAACATAATAGTAGTAGTTGTACAGTCCTGGGAATATACTGAAAATGAATTTTAGTCTTGAAGGGGTGCATTTTATGGTATGTAAAATATAGCTCAATAAAGCTGTTAAAAATAGCTTTGGCACTTCATTTAATTCAAGGAGCACAGCTTCAAATATATGAACTCAGTTGAAATTTATGCAAATTCAGATGTTAAGTGAAAAAATATAATCATAGCTAGCCAAAGTGAAAATATGACTTTCTAAACTATTTAGTGTTCAGGTAATGTATTTTTCTTTTTTCTTTTTCTTTCTTTTTTTTTTTTTTTTTTTGCCAACGGCACTTGCAAATTTAATTTGGTTTTTTTCTTTTGATTTCTTTCATATGTGCTTAGAATGCCACAGTATAAATGATGATTATAAAATTGTGAATGAGAAATGGCATGACAGAACAAGATTGAGAATGCCAAGTAGCTTTGTGTGATGACAGTTTCTTGTGGCAGACTCCCCAAGTTTCCCCCCAGTTGTAGAAATTGCACAGACTAGGACAGAGGCTGAGAAGTTTAGGGTTAGGAAGGAAGTCTGGATCTAGCTGACATTCATAACAGAGAGGACTACTTCCTCTTCTCTTCCTGACTCCTGTGAAAGAGTTTTTCAGATTGTGGATTTGTCAAAACTGTGAAGTAAATAACTGTTCATACAGTGATGCAGTTATTCCTTAAACACACTGCACTTTGATTCCCAGTCTGAAAGTCTTGGTAGTTGGGATCACTGATGGATATGTTCTGAGGCCCAAACCCTGATAAGTTCATTAATGAACATCAGGACAACTTAATCTTCCTAAGTCCTAATGGACCTTTGAAATCCATAAGGGACAACCACACTGTAAATGCCTGCAACGGTTAGAATGTTAATGAAGCATGCTGCCATGCGAAGGAAGTGCTCACAGATTCCAGGAGACCTAAACCAGCACACAGTAAATTAACAAAGAGCATAAAAGAATTGTAATGAATTGCTTGGGCTTTTGTTTATTTTGTTTTGTTTTTTCTTCAGCTGCTTTCAAGATTGTGAAAACTTGGCTTGGTCCAGAAGCTGTGAGTTTGTTGAAGTTTACAAGTAAAAATGAAGTCCAGGATTATGTCAGTGTAGAATACCTGCCTCCTCACATGGGTGGAACTGTAAGTATAGTACTTGAAGCCAGTTTTACAAATAGTCTGGATGATGGCAGATGAGGCTGTGTTCATTTCCCATGGAGAAAGGAAAGCAGCAACACACCCAAAGGAACATGGCATAGACCCCAAAGTAGTGAGATGTCTGCCTGGAGAACGCAGCAGGCTGTGCAAAAATGAGTCTTCAGGACAGTGTCTCCTACTCCTTCCCCTACTCCTGGGCCTCTCGTCATTTGCATTTCTTTTGTTAATTTCTGGAGACATATATTGTAAAGATAAGCAAATAAGCATGTCTAATTCTTCCTTCCACTTACCACTGAAAAACAGCTTGTGTGTTCATTCAACTGGTGCAATCCTTTTTGTTTGAGATCATTCCAAGTCAGTATATGGTGAACTTGTCTATTTATGGCTGCATAGTATTTCAGTGTCTAGAGATGGATCATAAGCTCTTGAATTCTTTTGATGTAACTTTATTCTGCTTCCAGTTGCTTATTCAAAATATTCTTAAGTTTATCAATTGTGAAACCTATGGACTTGGTATGCTTTGAGTCAACTTGATCATATTTCAGGTACTTAAACTTTATTCTCGATGAAACAAGGAAAAACAAGATTAAAGTTTTCTTAGCCGAATTGATGACTAGCCGTGTCTTGACAGCCTAGTGAATTCTTTTCTTTTAGGATCCTTTCAAGTATAGCTATCCTCCGTTAGTGGATGATGACTTCCAAACACCATTGTGTGAGAATGGGCCCATTACCAGTGAGGATGAAACTTCTAGTAAAGAGGATATAGAAAGCGATGGCAAAGAAACCCTGGAAACCACTGTTAACGAGGAACAAATAACTCTTCTAAAGAAGGTAACTTTCTGCGTAAAATGAAACTAAATCAAAAGCTACGGTCTAGCCCAAGTCTAACTAGACTGGCTGTGAAATTTTCGGGCCAATGTATTTCACTTGACTCTTTTCACAGCTGTGTGTGTGCAAAGAAAGGGGAAGGATGGGAAGGGGCTGGGTAGCCACAGGGCTGAAGGGATACTTTGTGGAACAGCTGGCACCTGTGTCTGAAAGGGAGTGTTTCTAGAATAGATTTTAATTGTCTAAGATAAAAGTAAACTGATAAATGTAAAACTACCTTAATGTAGTTCCTCTCTAAATTTTTAAGGGTGCTTAGTTGTCACTTTTCATAAATAAGGACAAATGACAGAGGGATAGATATAACTTAGAAGAAGTTTAAAGAATTAAGGGAAAAGGCCAGGTTACATTTTTTACAATGATGTGCTTACAGTGGTATATGTAAACATTCATTCCATATGTGATTACATATACTCTAAGATCACGTTAATATATCTGAAATGTGTCTTATACACATGCTAAACCTATGCTAGAACAAAATTTGGGTTGAGTTGAAATGTTTATTCTTTTGCCCAATAATCCACCCAAATGTCATTGTAAAAGTAAAATTTCTGTATCTCTTCACTCTTCATTTTCTTTCCCATGACTTAGGCTAACCCATCTGAACCTCCTCCCAAAGTAGAAGAAAATGAGAAAGGTGATTCAAAGGTGAAATCTTTCAAGAAACCTTTGAGTGTGTTCAAAGGGCCTTTACTACATATCAGGTAATCCTTGATCTTATCAGCCAGAGAGTTAGGACTTTTCTTGATCATCTTAAGGGAGTTGCAAATTTAGAAAACTCTAGACTGGTCTTGCAACTATGGAGATAACCAAATGAAGGCTTAGCTGGAGACTAGCCTTGGCTCCAGGCACAGTGGCTGGTTTCGCCACCTTTTACTATTTATGCCACTCAGTGTTTCAAGGACCTCATATATTAACAAAAAAGTACTCATTTATTCCCAGTAATCTGGATATATAGTTACATTATTTCCTCATATTACTGCTACACAATTTAAAGAATGTCAGAAATGCCATTGAAGTTGGCATTTGTTGATTTTACCTTCTAAAAGATGAGTGTGAACTTGAAAAAACTAAGCTTTTGAGTAAAGCCTAAATTCAGGTTGCTGAAATTTCTATTGCTGATTCACCCCAAATAGGGCTTTTTAAAACATCATTATTTAAAGACGTCTTTCCCACCACTGATGCTTTTGCTTGGGGAAATATGTTTAGCCTTAAGTTACTCTGCACCAGCCCACTTCAGTAAAGAGCTAGAGCATTTTGTACTGGAGTACTTGCAACATTCCTATGTAACTGTTGTTTAGGCTTATCTTTTGAACAATACAAGGTTGCTTCAGAAAGTTTGTAGAAAATTGAATCAAATCATACATTGATTTAAGTGCAAAAAATTATTTTTTTGAAATCCAGGTGTAGTTTTTTTTATAATATGTATTTCTGGTGTACTTTTTAAAAGACCCCTCATACAACCAAACATTAAAACATCTATTCTGAGATTTCCTGATTAGCAACATTAATTTAGGTAAGCTATTATTGAGTTACTGGTTGTTTGTTTTTTTTTTTTAAGATTGATTTATTTTCATTACAAAGCCAGGATAGAGAGAGGAGGAGAGACAGAGAGGAAGATCTTCTGTCCAGTAATTCACTCCCCAAGCAGCTGCAGAGGCTGGAGATGAGCCGATTCAAAGCCAGGAGCCAGGAACTTCCTCCAGGTCTCCTACATGGGTGCAGGGTCCCAAAGCTTTGGGCCATCCTCCACAGGCAGGGAGCTGGATGGGAAGTGGAGCTGCTGGGACTAGAACCAGTGCCCATATGGGATCCCAGCACATGCAAGGCAAGGACTTTAGCCGCTAGGCCATGACATCAGGCCCTGTTGTTTTTGATTTATCTTCACAGTCTTTGGCAGGTAGGGGGAGAGAGGCACGTGCGTTTTGCTTCACATAGCTTTATTTTGCAGTTTTTCCCATGTAGATTTGTTTCCATTTTCCCTTATACTAATTTGGAAGTTCTACACTGTGTTTTCACGGGAGGCCTATCAGAGAAAGCCGGGCTGGGCCAGGACAGCGTCCAGGGCTGCACTTTGGCTCTGCTAATCCCTGCCTGTGCCCCAGCCTGGCCACAGAGCTGCACCTGTCCAGGCACAAGGGCCAAGCTGCTAACTGTCCTCTGGACCTGTTCGTGGTTTTGGGCGACTTATTGACAGCATGTGCAGATCTATAACCTGCCTATCTATTATGTAGCTTTGATTTAAATATATTTTTATTGGAAAGACAGATTCACAGAGAGAAAGAGAGGCAAAGAGAAAGACCTTCCATCCACTGTTTCACTCCCCACATGGTCACAAAGGCTCGAGCTGAGCTGTTCCAACGCCAGGAGCCAGGAGCCTCTTCCAGGTCTCCCACATGGGTACAGGGTCCCTAAGGCCTTAGGTCAGCCTCCACTTCCCTCATAGGGCACAAGCTGGGAGCCGGATGGGAAGTGGATTAGCCAGGTTCCAAACTAATGCCACATGGGATCCAACTGTTTCAAGGAAAGGATTTAGCCACTAGGGCCACTGCACTGGGCCCTTCTGCATGACTTTTTCAAGACTGAGCCCAGCCGGAAGCCATGGCCATGGTTCATCTCATCTACAGTTAGGTGGAGCCTGTCTGGGAAAGCTCCTCCTTAAAAATTGGTGTTTTCTAGAGGAAATAATATTCCTGATGTGCAGATCTTCCTGGTAAAGAATGGATCTGTTTAAAGAAGCAGCTCAGAATCGGGCTAGCTGAACGTTCACCTTAGTTCAGTTATTCCCCTTTTTCTGTGAAACAAAAACACTCCTTTAAGGCACTTGACACAGTTTGGCCAATGTAATTGCAAACTAGGCTGAAGGCTTTGCATTTCTGTTTAAGGCCTTAGGCATTATAGTGGCCAGCTGCAGTAAAATGTAAGCTTTGAGACTTTCAGATTTTACTGTTAAATTATTTCTGCAGTTCCCACCCCAAATTTATTCCTGTGCTTTTTTGCTCCTCTATCATTGAAGAAAGCCATTTGGTAATGAGAAGTTGCCCTGTACTTACCCACATCCCCAATGATCTTGATCAGTTACAAGTAAAACGTGCCCTACTCTTGTCTCCTTTTGTAATTAGGTAATCCATAACCTTCCAAAGAGCATTAATACATGCACCTTAAAGTTGTATTGTTTATAGGATTAATGCAGAATTTTCCTAATGCTTCCTTTTTTCCTGTTTTGCTTTTGAACTTAGTGAAAACCATAGGACTTCTTCAATTGCAGACATTGAATCCATAGCATTAAAATATAAAATCACATTCTATGGTTGTTTTGTTGTTTTGTAGTCCTTTTGGTAAAATCTCTTTATCCAAATGAGCATAAAATATTAGCCAAGCATTTTTCTTAGAGATTACAATTAGATTGTCATCGATTTTGAGTAATACAGAGTCTTTGTGTTTTTGTTACCGTGTAGCCCAGCTGAAGAGCTGTATTTTGGAAGTATGGAATCTGGAGAGAAGAAAACTTTAATAGTGTTGACAAATGTAACTAAGAATATAGTGGCCTTTAAGGTAAGTATCTGAAAGATGTAATAAGCAAGTTATTTGTGAAAATTAACATAATAAATGATTCTAGACAGTCTAATTGAAAGACGGGTAACTTTAAATTTGTGTGGTGTTTTGATTTATATTTTTAGGCATATTACACTGCCTTCTCTTTTTAAGAAAAATTTATTTCTTTATTTGAAAGAGTTAAAGATAGAAAGGGAGAGAAATAGCAAGTGAGCAAGAGAGACCTTTCATGCATTTGTTCACTCTCCACGTGGCTGCAGTGGTTGGGCCTGGGCCGGGCGAAGCTAGGAGCTAGCAAGCTCTCGCGCGTGGGTGGCGGAGGCCCACGAACTTGGGCCATCTTTAGCCACTTTCCATGCTATCAGTGGGGAGCATCCAGGACATGAAACAATGCCCGTACTGAATGCCAGTGTTGCAGGCAGCAGCCTTGCCTGCTATGCAACAGTGGTGAACCCCCTACTTTCCACTTCTGAGTGATGTGTCTTGTCTAAAATTTTCCCTGGAACCTACATCTGAACATTTTCTTTTCAGATTCTATTTACTTATTTATTTGTATTTGCAAGGCAGAGAGACACACAAGCACAGAGCTTCCGTTGGCTTGCTCACACGCCAGATGCTCACAATAGTCAAGGCTCGACAGTCCCAACATAGGAGCCAGAAACGCGGCTGGGTCGCCCACAGGGATGACAGTCCCTCAAGTACTTGAGCCATCACCTGCTGTACATCAGCATGGAGGATAGACGCCAGCAGAAAGCTAGTAGCAAGCAGAGCTGAGAGTGGAGCTTGGGCACATCGATGGGGGACGCAGGCATCCCAAGCAACATCTTAGCTACTGCCTGCCCCGTCTGCCTCAGTCTGAAAAGGGTAATAATGGGCTAGGGTCCAAACAATCCCAGATTTAGGATTTGCTTAAAATAAAACTCAAGAAGAATCATTCCTTGCAGAATATTCTGGAGTGTAATTAATATTGGATCTAACCTGATCCTGAGCAGGAAGTGTAACAGAATTGAGTCTATCACTACTCTGTATAATAAATTTTAAATCTGCCATTTAACTTCGATGCAGTTGCTAGGATATGCAGCCATCTGCTGCTTTCCTTTTATTTTCTTTTTAATATTGGAAAGGTAAATTTACAGAGAGAGGAGAGAGAAGGAAAGATCTTCCGTCTGCTGGTTCACTTCCCAAATAGCCAGGAGCCAGAAACTTCTTCCAGGTCTCCCACGTAGGTGCAGGGTCCCAAGGCTCTGGGCCTTTGTTCAGTGCTTTCCCAGACCACAAGCAGGACTGGAAGTGGAGCAGCCGGGACACGAACCATTACCCATTTGGGATGCTGGTGATTGAAGGAGAAGAATTAACCAATTGAGCCATTATACCAGCCTTGCTTTCATGTTCTGAGCACTTGTAGCATGGTCTAGTATACATTTGTGTATATGTGTGTAAATTTACATCATTAAATTGGCAGACAAATATTTAGCAAATGAATTAAGATTTTTATTGAACAGGAAGGCTAAAGTAACTTAGGAACACCTTTTTATATAGGTTGAGATGCTTCTATCCCCTTGGGAGGGAAAAATCCATTCTGTGCATAACTAGCAAAGCTGCTTTGTAAACTCCTGGATCATTCATTATCCATTTCTGGATTTTGTTTCCAAGTCATTGTTAAGCCGTTTCCCTCCCGGAAACATGAAGGTTATGATATGAACTCTATGTTTGTAAACAGGTGAGAACAACTGCCCCAGAAAAATACCGAGTCAAGCCGAGCAACAGCAGCTGTGACCCCGGGGCATCTGTGGATATAATCGTGTCTCCCCATGGGGGTGAGTTGTTACAGGGTGGCCACAGCAGGTGTGGTGGGGTGGGGCTTGGTGCTAGAGCAGCACTGTTAAAGCTGACAAGAATTAAAATTGGATTTCAAAAAAGCAAAACTTCCATTGTTAGCACTTATTTTTTCTTTAAGGTAGTTTCATTTCCTTCTTTTTCTTCAGTGTCATTCAGTGTTGTAGAATAGTGCCTCCATCCAGACATGTAACTCCTCGTAGAGCATCCGGTGCTAAGTTATCTTTTTGGAGTACAGGTTTCACAGTCTCCGCCCAAGATCGCTTTCTGATAATGGCCGCAGAAATGGAGCAGTCATCTGGCACAGGGCAAGCTGAATTGACACAGTTCTGGAAAGAAGTCCCTAGAAACAAAGTGATGGAACACAGGTAAGCTTTGTGCCTGTGTGGTAGAAGAGGCAGAAGGAGAAGCAGGCCTCCACAGCTAGGCAGCATCCCTTCCTTCGGGGTCTGGCAGATACCTAAACACCCTGTGTGGGTCTACAACTGCAAGACAGGTCATTGGATGAATAGCCCAGAGCTGTGAAGGAGCTCCCTGGCAGAGCTCCAAACCAACAAATTCCTTTGCAGGACACTCTTGCCCTAAATATTAAAATGCTGGCAGCAACATTGCTTGTGAGAGTGAATGGTTAGAAAGTAGGAACCCGACCAGTTAAAGTAGACATGATACATTGGCCGTGAATCAGAAAGGCACTCTCAAGGCTGTTTGTTGTGACATGGAAAGACATCTGCGATGTATCATTAGAAAAAAGCTTTAATCATGGGGCCTGGTGCTGTGGCCTATCAGTTAAGGTCCTTGCCTTGAAAGTACCTGGAATCCCATCTGGGTGTAGGTACTGATCCCAGCAGCCCCACTTCCCATCCAGCTCCCTGCCTGTGTCCTGGGAAAGCAGTCGAGGACAGCCCAGAGCATTGGGACCCTGCATCCACGTGGGTGACCCAGAAGAGCTCCTGGCTCCTGGCTTTGGATCAGCACAGCACCGGCCACTGCGGCCGCTTGGGGAGTGAATTAGTGGATGGAAGATCTTCCTCTCTGTCTCTCCTCCTCTCTGTACATCTGCCTTAAAAAAAAAAAAAAAAAAACTCTAATTACACAAAAATATGCCCGACAGAAGAGGTGGAAAAGCTACAGGTTTCCCTATGTGTGTGTCTGGAAAAGGCATAGGGAAGAGAAAACATGGAGAAGGCTGTGTTGTAGTTGTATTTTACCTGGTGTTTTGGAGCTCTCATGGTTTTTCTCCCCTCATTGGAATTGTAGTTTATTGATGCATTCCCAGATTTCCTCCCCGAAGGAACATTTCTCAATGTTTAGAGACTGTTTTGGTTATTAAAACTAGGGTTGGGTGCTCTGGACATCTCGTGGTAGTGGGAGGAACCTAAGGGTGCCACTAAACATCCTTTGGCACACAGGGAAGCCCCACTCCCCAACAGTGATCCAGCAGCCAATGTCTGATGACATTTCAGTAGGAGCTAGAGGAGCTGAGAAAGTGGGTCACATAGATAACTGGACAAAGAACTTTCCGCCAGAAGGAGAAATAAATGACAAAGGAGTGTTCTTAACACATGGGAGGCACTGCAGAGCAATCAGTGTGGCTCGGCTTCAGTAAGTGGAGGAGATGGCTAGCAGGCCTTGAGAGCTGAGTTCAAGCTGGAAACCAACTGTCTGTACTGGGCAGAGCCGCAGGGCAATATAGCTGATCTGGGGAAGGGGGCTGTGTAGAAAAGTTGGCAGGCACAAGTGGTACTAAGGAGGTCACCTCGGAGTGGCACTGGGTGTGGGTAGCATGGTGCCAGGTGCTTTAGTGTCATCCACTTGTGGAACCATGAAGCCCATAGAGAAATAGAGAGGAAGGGAAAGGGAGAAAGAGAGGCATTTTCCCACTTAAGGAATGAGAAACTGGATCATCTAATAGTCATGGTGGAGTGGAATAAAACAGGAGGCTAGATAATTGTGAAACGAACCATGTTAAGAAAGCCTGAGAGGCAGCCAGGGGCCAAAGGCAGAATTAGTCTCCACCGTGAACTGACACCCAATCTGATAGGCCTTTGTCAAGGTCATTCTATTGGCCATGTGCTTAGTAGAGTGCAAGAGAACAAGGCTGGGCCCTGGAAGACAGCTGTTATTTTAGTTGTCCCAGCCAGAGAGCAGATAAGATAGACCTTGCCTGGAGGAAGAGTCTGTAGCCAAATGGAAAAAGGAGGACATTGAAGCAGAGTTAGGAGGAGGACCAGCAACTGAACCCTGTCATGACTGCCGTTTAAGCGCAGCCAAGAGAATGCTTTACAAAAGACAACGTGACCAGTGCTACCAAGTGCTGCCAAAAATGCTGATGTAGGAGCATGCGGTGTGGACGGGGTGCATGGTGGGGCCACCACCAGTGGCCATACAGAAAGCACTTCCAGGTATCCACGAGCCGCACTCGACAGAGCAGTCACTGGCATTCCTATTCCTGACAAGGCTGCGTTGGGGCAGAACTGGAGAGAGGGTCGGCCTTAGTGGGAGGGCAGAGGCTATGCGGATGGAGATGCGGCTTGGTGCGTTCCACCAGTCACTTTCCGGGAGGGCCTGGTTTGTTCGGCTGGCTGTGTTGTGTTGATGAAAGGCATGGCAGTGGGGATAAGGGGAGGTTGCCTCCGCTAGTGTAAAAGGTGTTAGAGCTTCACTTGAAGTTCTTCTGAAACAGTCCTGGAGAGTGAGGGTTTTTTTCTGGTCTGTTGCCTGTGAGGTACAGTGGTTTTCGTCTTACCGGTTCCTGGTGGTAGCTTCTCACTGGCTGTGATTCAGGGCTTGTCGTATTTTCTCCAAAAACAGGAGGGAGGCTTGGGGACTAGATCCCAAGGCCCCAAGGACAGCAGCGTCTCCCATCTGGAAAGTCCTGAGATGGTTGAGTGGCTTCTGCTGAGTCCCTCGTAAGAAAGCTCACCTGGGGACTCCCTTGGAGTACTGAGTAGCTTCACTCCCTGTGTCCCTTTTTACACGAAAGAGCAACCAGTGTGGGGTGAACACCTGGGAAGCTGCCCCTGAGGCAGAGCAGGAGAGAGGAATGAGGCTCCCTTCCCTCCACAGGCCGACTTCTGTGTCTAACTCTGTCAGGAGATTCATTGAAACTTAAAGATTGCATTTCTTTGGATTTTGTTCATAGGTTAAGATGCCATACTGTTGAGAGCAGTAAACCAAACACACTTATATTAAAAGACAATGCTTTTAACATGTCAGATAAAACCAGTGAAGACATCTACCTACAAGTAAGTGTACTTTCTTCCTAACTACAGTCCATTACTTGTAAATGCAAATCAACCTTAGAAACCCATTCTTCCTACTGACCTAAGGAAAAAGCATTGGTAGAGGCACAAGACAGAACAGACATGTGTCATTGGGAAAGCGATGCCAAGTCAGAGGAGATAGGTGGGCACATCTAACCTTGTAAACATTTGGGTAAAAATCAGTAGCAAAGAATTTGTTTGGGGGCATAGCCGAGTTTACTCTGACCCGAGTAAGTAAATGAGGAAGCCAGACCTATCCAGCTGCCAGACAACCCCTGTGCCTTGTCTGTGTAGCCCCCAGCCTTTCGGAGCAGGCCAGTCCATCCCCTCTACAGGTGGAGTTCTGATATTCCTACTTGTCATTCCATGATAAATGACTGTTGTAGTGATACAAATTTTACATTGCTTTTTTTGCCTCTTCAGCTCAGTCGTTTACTAGAATGCAATCGGAAGCTTGAAGACCAAGTTCAGCGTTGTATCTGGCTCCAGCAGTTGTTGCTTTCAGTAACAGTGCTCCTGCTTGCTGTTGTCATCTCTTTATTCTATTCGTTGCTAAGTTAAGGAAGTGGTGCCTGGTCGGAAACTTGGATCCTTCATCTGTGGGAAAAAGTAACAGACCCAAAACTTCACCACCAAGCTACTCAAAGTCTTGCACATCTGGGCTTCCTCAAAGCAAATACACAGCACCTAGAGGGATGCAACACGTACACGTTGGGAAAATGAACTGGTCAGATAAAGAGATGCTGGACAAGCAGATTCTCAGAGACTGTAACAGTTAGGAAAGTAAGTGAAGGCATATGCATTATGTAAATTAATGGTTTAAATCTAATTTATTTTTTTTCCTTTGGGTTGGGACACTTTTAAAGCGTAAGTCTTCTGTAAATACACTAGCTAAACTGAAAAGTGTAAGTAACATGCTTCGTTGCAGCCAAAATAAATAATCTGCTCTTTTTATGACACAATTATTATAGCTGAACCAACTTATTAGCTTTTCTATACTATGTATATAGAAGACCATGTATATTGAAAAAGAAGACATACAGAGTAATTTATGTAATCCTGACTTTGTAATTTTGAGAATTACTTCCAGACAATAATAATCAATATTCTTTTGGAATGTAAACCTATTTAATGCCAAACCACCTTAGCCTCGATTCCGCAGTGTGCGGGACAGCCTGCCTCTTCGGGCATGTCAGGCTTTCTCTGGAACACCGGCAGGGCGGCCTTCGCACTGAGTGCTTGGAAGTGTCTTCTGTCCGGAAAGTGTCCTCAGGCCGTGTCAGGTTGCAGTCATTCCTGTTGTCCACTAGGGCTGGTCCTGAAGCCTCTGCTACAGGCTTCTGAGGCCTTCCGGTGTCCATGTCCGCCCTGCTGCAGAGTGCTGGAGTCTGGAGGCACCCCGCATTTCTAAAGGAAACACATTAGATTTTACTTTGCTGGGGGTGGGAGGACGGATGCTTGACACGCTAAGTAGCGTAAACAAAGAAAAGTCATTATCTTGAACCCTGTGACAGAGGAGTTTGAGATACTGACTGCTCCTTGCTAGTATCAGCCGGAGAAGGAGCCTTTTCAGCAGGGAAAAGAAGAGAAAGCAAAAGCAGACAGTGTCAGTTCTTTATTTAAAGGATGAAAAGGATGGAATGTAAGAGCTCTGAGCAGCACTAAGGGGCCTGAGTCCTTGCCCGAGGCACAGTAACACCAATCTAGGAGGGTGCCTCACTTCCTAAGAGGCAGTGTGGCAGTCAAGGCTAGTGAAGGTCACGTGTTTTCTCATGAATCCAACCAGTCCCAGTCCCTGTGGGTGCAACATGTCTTTCTGCTTTATCTGAAAGAAATGTCCTCTACCTGGGCAATAAATGGAGTTTCGGTGGTACCAGCTTGGGGATTTCTGCTGCTTTGTCCTGAGGCGCAGTACTATGGGTTTGGATCATGAAGAAGTGGGTTCACAAACTGAGGTATGAAGAATATTATAGGAGCCTCAAACATGCCCTAGGAAATAAAACCTTAAAAGGACACTGCTGTGTGAGACCTTGTCTTAATGCGGGCATTTCTGGGACAGGACTGAGGTCCTCCTTGAGGGCTGTGCACAGTGTCACCCTGGCTGTGTGTGCACAGTGGCTCCCCTTACACGGCACGTCTCTGGCCTTAACATAATTCAATCTAATCCCAAAGTATTTGTGTGTGCTTTTGTTCCTCAGCAGATAAATGAGGATATAATTAGCCCAGATTGGAAATGTGTTGTCCTAATGGTGTCCCTTTAATGTTTCCTTTGAAAAGTATGTTGACTTGCAGAAACATCCTTTGCTTACTGTCTGGTCAGTTGAATTTAATAACATATCCTGTTGGCGGTCATGTGTCTATTAAATGTGACTAAGCAGAATTACTGAAAGTTAACTGTCAGATCAAAGGCATCTAAGCTTTTGTACTTGTCTTGATTAATCATACATATTTACATTTGATTTTAGTCTGTCTTCATTTGGTTTTATTTAATCATCTATGCAGGATTATTTGGACTACTATAATCTATTTTTAATCATATTCACAACTACATTACCAAGGACTGACATTTGAATTTTAGTTTTTTGTTTTCACTTTGGAATGGAAATGGATAGATTTTTCCATGAAAACATTAATGAACTATTATTAGCTTGATCTACAAGTAGTCTAAAAAATGCAATTGCTGGTAAACCTGGCGCCAAATTTCATAATAGCATAACTTTTTATATCTTGCCACTAATTTTGACTGGATTTATTAGCACTTTATTGTACAATTATAAGAAAATATATTCCTAGAATTGTTGCCAGTGTAATTTCTCTAATGTTCTGGTGCTTTTCATATATTTTCAGTATTTTATTACTATATTGGTATTTTCTTTGTACAAATTGATTAAAAGAACATGTTTTCTATTTTAATATGTTTTAGAAAAAATAATTACATTTATGAAATAAATATCATCAGGAAAAAAACCTCTGGTCTTTGATTGATCCAACATCTTAAACGAAAATCAATGTTCTGACTATCTGGGACTTTTAAAGACTGTAGGAGTTTCTTTCGGCTCTGCTCTACATTTTGGTGAGGGCAACCTTGCAGGTGTCTAGGCATGTGGTCACACATCAGGTGAACTGTACTTCGGTGTCTTGTCATCCCCATGTTGAGTCTGGCTGCTACGCAGTGCGGTCCTCCATTTCCCCTTAGCGTCAGAGCCATTGTTGGGCTTTGGGGTTCATGACTGGCCTGAGATTACCATGAATTGTCCCAGCCTTTCTTGCCTCGGGAGCAGGCTAAGCAAAAGGCCTGCCTGGCAGTGTGGCTGGCACTGACCACTCCTAACCTATGGCCCAGGGGCCTGGCCCAAGGTATGGGGGACATTGGGAGGGATGGCCAAGCAGCCCAGAATGGTGACAGAAGAGGAGGTTGTTGATATCTGCCTCCCTCCCAAATGGCTGCAACTTCTCCGTAACAATACACTGACTAGGACTGCTGCCTCTTTTGTACTTAAGAGAAGCAGAGATGAGAAAAGAGGCCAAACTGGTTGATAAAATGGGATCCAACCTACCCTCCTGTCCACATTTCACACACCCCTTTCATATGTACTTATTCATTTTTAACATTTACAATGGGACTTTGCAATCACAGGTGGAATGTTTCATCACTATGCTTCTAAAGCTATGTTGTGAAATATAGGAAATTTTCTCTGTTTTATAAGTTAAAATATTAAACAATTAACATTTAAAATGGAGAAGTCTCAAATACAAATTTAAACTTTTAAAAGTAAATATTTTTTTAAAATGGAGCTTTAAAGCCAGGACATTAGCCTACCAGAGAACAACATACCAGCTTGGGACTGAACAGGTATGGCCTTCTTTCCCAAAGGACTCAACTTTGTAGCAGGTGAGTTCCAATGGGTCAGATCTCCAGCCAGGAATGCATCGATTCTTTCAGAGGAAACTTCAGCTCTTTCTTCCCTAAAATTTCACCACCTAGTGACAAGTTTCAACACCCAAATGGGAGCTCCCAGAAGTTTAGGGTGGCCCCTTTCTTCCTGGCTCAGAGGGACAGATTGTAAATCTTCCTACTTGTGCCAGCCAAGACAATGGTGATTAGACACAAGTCCCCTCTCTACCACTTGGGAAAGTTAACCTCTCAAAGCCCTTATACCTCCATAAGGAATCATCATAGCCCTGCTTCATAGATCGGTTATGAATCAGGGGAGATAGCATATTGAAAGCATCTATGGAGGTCAGCATCCACTGGGTCTTTCACCTCTGCTTCCTGATGATGTCCTTATGTTGAATCAAAATGACCTCCCAGGCAGGGTGTTAGGGTTCAGCGCACAGTTCAAGTCCAAGCTCCTCCAATTCCAATCCAGCTTCCTGTAAATAATACCCTGGGAGGCAGCAGGTGATGGCTCAAGTACTTGGGTCTCTGCCACACATGAGGACCTGATTGAGTTCCAGCTCCTGACTTTGGGTTGGCCCAACTGTGGCTACTGTAGGCATTTACAGTGTGAATCAATGGATGGAAAACCAATTCTATTTCTCTTTTCCTTCCTCCCCCTCTCCTGCTGTCACTCTGCCTTTCAAATGAATATAAATGAATAAACATCTTAGAAATTACTTTCCTATGATGTTCAGAAAGTCACACTTTCCCTGACCATTTAGTCCCCTGACATGAAGAGTAAAACTAATTTCTTGCACATGTTAATATTTTTTATGATAACTAGTCTAGATGGCAAGAATCCTGAGGAATGTTTCCCAGCCCTTAAGCCCAGGGCGTATGCCCATTTCACAGTCCATAGAGAGTTTGAGAGGTCCTTGAAACTTGAGCAATTCTTCCATACTCCTTTGTCCTGAGCATGCTGGGAATACATAAGATGCGGAAGCCAAGAACCCAAAAAGTATTTATTCTTTCCCAAGGTCAAAACATTAATCAATTTCAGAGCCAAGCTGAACTAGTCTCCCACACACAAAGCTTGTTGGTTCTAATTACACAGAGCTGCTTTGTCTGAGTGTATGTCAGCCTGTTGAATAGGTAGACATCTGACAGAATGAGAGGAAAAGAGAAGGAGGAGTGCCGGGATAGCCATTTTAGATGCTTGGTTGCTAAGCAACAGACACACTTTACATGTTCAACATACAGGATATTGCTTACTTTGGATGTAGTATTTTGAGGTGCACCACATCAACATTTAAGAAGTCTGCTCATGGCTCTGATAGACGGGTATCCAGTGGGCTGTTTTGCTACTAGTAATCTTAAAATCATTGTGGGGTGGTGCAAGCAAGTCATGTGCATATACGAGTCTGTTTATTTTTTATTGCCATTTAACAAACTTCTGCCAAGTCAGCAGCTTAAAATGATGCCAGTGTATTCTCACGGGGTTTCTGGGGGTTGCTTCAGTGTGGCATGCCTGACTTCTCTCTTGGGGCCTCACTCATCTGCCATGGATGACTCCTCACGAATCCGACTGCTTCCTCCCCCAGTAAAGACCTATCTTCCACTAGTTGGTAGAATTCATTTCCTTGTGGCTGTGGGACTCAGCATGTTGGATATCTTACTGTCAAGATATGCTCTTGGGCCCCACAGGATACTCATAGGTCTTTGCTCTGTGGCTTCCACCATAGGCAGTTCACAGCATGGTTGTTCTCCGGCAAGTCTCCTCTCCCGGGAAGGGCCCTGTTCCCTTGAAGGACATATCTTGGTGAAGTCAGGCCCATCCAGGACAATCTGCCCTGCTATGAACTCAAGGAGAGTTCATTGGGAACTTCAATTCTGTCCACAAAACCCCTTGTCATCTAACACAACCTAATCAGGGGAGTGAGTGATGCCCCATAATATTTATGAACTGCACCCCCACATTCAAGAACAATTATATAAGAGGCAGATGGGGTGGGAATTACCAATTCATTCAACTCAGTTCCTAAGAAATGGAGACCTGAAATCCTGAACCAGCCTCTCCCAGTCTTATGACAGCTGCGAATTCGGATGTTCCATACCTCAAAGGCAATAGACGAGAGCCCACATCAGGCAACAAGTGAAAGACATGGGCACAACAACCAATCCTTATCCTAGATGGTTCTCTCTAGACTCATAACTTCCATTTACAAAAGTATATGACTTTCACCAAAAAACGTTGTTAAAGTATGCTCCCACTATTTTTCATATTCTGTCATAAAAACACCTCAGAGTCTCACAGTGAATAAATTCAAGAGGAAAGGGGCACATCCGATAATTGTGTGCCTTTGTAAATGAAGCTCTAGTAGAAACAATGGGTTTTTAAAATTTCCCTTTTCTTTCAGAATAATCCATTCACCTTAGTTAATGTGAAATAATGGTCTTATATATAAGTATGCTCTGTGGAGGTAACTAAATGAAAAGATTAAAAAATGAAAAGATTAAAGTTGGCTGTTTTTAAAAGGAAAATATCCTGTTCTTATAAAGACTTACACAATGATTTCCAGTATCTACACTGTCCAATCCGATTTGAATCAATTTCCAGTGCCTTGAATTCTTCTATTTCAGGAAGTTCCCTGTATATTTTCAAATATATATGTGCATAAACATGTCACTGATTTATTTTCATTTTAAAAAATTCTTAAATAAGTTTTACAACTCAGATATGCATGTGTTTTTAATATGTTCCTGACTACAAAATCCATAACACTATGCCTGTCCTGAAAACCCATAATGCCTATCCATTTTCCTTGCTAAATTTTAGAATTGATTTACTTGTCTTTCTCAATCCAATACACATCTTCTTTTGCACCAAGCCCTCACTTTAATCGATTTGTTCAGTAGAACTTAATATTTTTAGTTAAGTTTGCTTTAAACTTCGTTTACCCATTAACATGCCCATGTGGTTGAGCAACTTACATCAAATGCCAAGTAACTCTTTTCAGTCATACACTAAATGTCCAAAATGTGGTTTCACTACTTCTCCAATGTTCCCACTCTGACTTTAGCTACTTGTTTCCTGTAGAGGTAGACAGTAAGAGGCTTGTTATTATAAGGGCAGCAATAATAGCATGATTCAGTCTAGCCAAACTTAATTTTTAAAATGTAGCTGAAGTAATGTTACTAAAGTAGAAAGTGAAAGGAAATTGATGCAAAAGCAGTGTTCCTGCTGTTTTGGGGTGGTGGAGGGGTCTTACACAGCAGTTATATTCTGAATTCTTTATTTTTTTCTTTAAGATTTACAGAGAAGAAGAGAGACAGAGAGAAAGACCTTCTGGTTCACTCTCTAAGTGGCATAACAGCCAGAGCTAAGCTGATCCAAAGCCAGGAGCCCAGAGCCTCTTCCAGGTTCCCACGCAGGTGCAGGGTCCCAAGGCTTTGGGCCGTCCTCAACTGCTTTCCCAGGCCACAGGCAGGGAGCTGGATGGGAAGTGGAGCAGCCAGGATATGAACCGGTGCCCACTGGGATCCTGGTACATGCAAGGCGAGGATTTAGCCCCTGGGTCACCACGCTGGGCCTAGAGTAGTTATATTCTAAAGTCAGTTCTTTGAGTAAACTTGAGGATAGTCAGAATCTACCCAGAACTTCATAAAGTACCACAAAAGACATGGGCACAAAACTCCTTAGCTCAATGAATCTAATTCTTCATTTTATCAGCAGATAAAGTATTTAGCTTTACTCTTTGTGATTTTGGCAAGGCAGATGGGTCATGTAATACAACAAATATATATAGTGTACCTTTACAGTTAGAGTCACCATCAGCAAGAATCTCTTGCTTTACAAGGCACACGGAGATTGAGACTGTATGAAAGATATTCATA